AATAGATCTACACCCCATGCTTGTCTTCATATGGAGATTCTGTGACAGAATAGATCTACACCCTATGCTTGTCTCCACATGGAGATTCTGTGACAGAATAGATCTACAGCCCATGCTTGTCTTCACATGGAGATTCTGTGACAGAATAGATCTACACCTCATGCTTGTCTCCACATGGAGATTCTGTGATGAAATAGATCTACAGCCCATGCTTGTCTTCACATGGAGATTCTGTGACAGTATAGATCTACAGCCCATGCTTGTCTTCACATGGAGATTCTGTGACAGAATAGATCTACAGCCCATGCTTGTCTTCACATGGAGATTCTGTGACAGAATTGATCTACAGCCCATGCTTGTCTTCACATGGAGATTCTGTGACAGAATAGATCTACACCTCATGCTTGTCTCCACATGGAGATTCTGTGATGAAATAGATCTACAGCCCATGCTTGTCTTCACATGGAGATTCTGTGACAGTATAGATCTACACCTCATGCTTGTCTCCATATAGAGATTCTGTGATGAAATAGATCTACACCCCATGCTTGTCTTCACATGGAGATTCTGTGACATAATAGATCCACAGTACCCCATGCTTGTCTCCATATAGAGATTCTGTGATGAAATAGATCTACATCCCATGCTTGTCTCCATATGGAGATTCTGTGACAGAATAGATCCACAGTACCCCATGCTTGTCTCCATATGGAGATTCTGTGATGAAATAGATCTACACCCCAAGCTTGTCTCCACATGGAGATTCTGTGATGAAATAGATCCACAGTACCCCATGCTTGTCTCCATATGGAGATTCTGTGATGAAATAGATCTACGCCCCATGTTTGTCTTCACAGGGAGATTCTGTGACATAATAGATCCACAGTACCCCATGCTTGTCTCCATATGGAGATTCTGTGATGAAATAGATCTACACCTCATGTTTGTCTTCACAGGGAGATTCTGTGACAGTATAGATCTACACCCCATGCTTGTCTCCATATGGAGATTCTGTGATGAAATATATCTACATCCCCTGCTTGTCTCCATATGGAGATTCTATGACAGAATAGATCCATAGTATCCCATGCTTGTCTCCATATGGAGATTCTGTGACAGTATAGATCTACATCCCATGCTTGTCTTCATATGGAGATTCTGTGACAGAATAGATCTACATCCCATGCTTGTCTTCACATGGAGATTCTGTGACAGAATAGATCTACACCCTATGCTTGTCTCCACATGGAGATTCTGTGATGAAATAGATCTACACCCCATGCTTGTCTCCATATGGAGAATCTGTGACAGTATAGATCCACAGTACCCCCTGCTTGTCTTCACATGGAGATTCTGTGATGAAATCGATCTACAGCCCATGCTTGTCTTCACATGGAGATTCTGTGACAGAATAGATCCACAGTACCTCTTGCTTCTTCTAAGAACACAAATAGTGATTCTTGTCGTGAAGCCACCTGGTTGATTGTCAACAAGACTCAAACATAGTGATTCCTTGCTCCTACTATCATCCACTGATTTGTCTCGCGTCCGACAAAGACAAAAGATTTCACGGGCCTCTGTGGGTAGCTGTAAAAAGGTTGACATCAGCATTAATGCAACATGATTCACTCACCGTTTCACCATACATCAAGAATATAGTGCCAACTTGCACGACCCACGCTTGCACTCAACAGCAAGAATACTTTCTCCATAAAAACATAAGACGATTACTAACTGATCCATTCAAACAAACTGGTAGTGAACACTGCTAGAGAAACAGCAGCAAATTTCATTGAGGAAATCAACAATTACATAAAAAAAAACCTTCTGAGTGTTGTATAGGAAATGAGGAAGTAGTTATTTCCTGCTTGACAACCTACGAATAGAACTAATTGTCTTGCAAATATTTCGTTATCAGATTTTAAGGATGTTTATAAACATTCCTCTAACAGAATATGAGCAATTGTTTGACTTGAGTATCGTTTGTCGCAACGGGATACAAGGAGTCTGCTATTTTACTCACACAGCGTAAACACACGTAAGTAAACATACGTAGGTAAACAGTGCCGCAGAATGACTGAGAGCTTCAGTGTTGCTGTATCCTCAGTTTAAGACTTACTTGTTCATATACAGAATTGTTTTCGAAAACCTTAGGGTAAAATAATATTCTTAATTGTATTTTTTAAGTGTTATTTCGAAAGTATTGTTGGTGGGATGAAATGTTGAAATTACGATTGAAACTAATCAAAGAAAACTTGATATTAAAGAAACTTGTTTACCGTTGTGACAGGGCAAAAGGTTTTAAAACGGTCCTTACTCAATCGCCTGCTTAATCACCTGCTTAACTGTCTTACCTAAAAAGTCTTTACTCAATCGCCTGCTTAACTGTTTTACCTAAATGGTCTTTACTCAATCGCCTGCTTAACTGTTTTACCTAAAAAGTCTTTACTCAATTGCCTGCTTAACTGTTTTACCTAAATGGTCTTTACTCAATTGCCTGCTTAACTGTTTTACCTAAAAAGTCTTTACTCATTTGCCTGCTTAACTTTTTACCTAAATGGTCTTTACTCATTTGCCTGCTTAACTGTTTATCTAAGTGGTCTTTACTCAATTGCCTGCTTAACTGTTTTACCTAAAAAGTCTTTATTCAATTGCCTGCTTAACTGTTTGACCTAAATAGTCTTAACTCAATTGCCTGCTTAACTTTTTACCTAAATGGTCTTTACTTAATCACCTGCTTAACTTTTTACCTAAATAGTCTTTACTCATTCACCTGCTTAACTGTTTTACCTAAAAAGTCTTTATTAAATCACCTGCTTAACTGTTTAACCTAAAAAGTCTTAACTCAATTGCCTGCTTAACTGTTTTACCTAAATGGTCTTTTCTCAATTGCCTGCTTAACTGTTTTACCTAAAAGGTCTTTATTAAATCGCCTGCTTAACTGTTTTACCTAAATGGTCTTTTCTCAATTGCCTGCTTAACTGTTTTACCTAAATGGTCTTTACTCATTTGCCTGCTTAACTGTTTTACCTAAATGGTCTTTACTCAATTGCCTGCTTAACTGTTTTACCTAAATGGTCTTTACTCAATCGCCTGCTCAAATGTTTTACCTAAAAAGTCTTTATTAAATCACCTGCTTAACTGTTTTACCTAAATGGTCTTTACTCAATTGCCTGCTTAACTGTTTTACCTAAAAAGTCTTTACTCAATTGCCTGCTTAACTGTTTTATCAAAGTGGTCTTTACTAATTCGCCTCCTTAACGTTTTCAGACACTCATTGTATCCAACCAATCCTCATTACTCACACAAGAATGAAGCTCTGCTAAGGAAGTATCTCAGTGGGATAAGGGGCGGTCGGGTAGCCTAGTGGTTAAAGTGTTCGCTCGTCACGCAGAAAACCAGGGTTCGATTCCCGACATGGGTACAATGTGTGAAGCCCATTTCTGGTGTCCCCCGCCGTGATATTGTTGGAATATTGCTAAAAGCGGCGTAAAACCAAACTCACTCACTCAGTGGGATATAACGAGAAATTTTGATTTCTCAATTTCTCAAATTATACCGCGAATTAATTTCATTCCTGTCATTAAAATGTAAATAAGGTTTTTCCTTGTGTTTGATGTGACCATTATACTTCACTATTTATATTTGCTGAGTGCACAATTAAACAAACAAACAAACAAATATTACTGATATCTGAATATGCACACTCTAGGCTTTTCACTTGTGCTGTTATAAAGTTCCCCTGCATTAATTGGTGTGAGTAACTTTATACAATTGTCAAGTGATATCGTACAGTAGAGAGTGGGAGGAAATGGCTCGGAGGACGATTGAGAAATTCGGATTTGATGCATGATAACAATCTGTATGTTAAAACTACTATACAGTTATGTGTTCCTCCAGTACCAATGCTTGTCCACTAGGCGTTCCAAGACAAAGTATTCCCCAGTACCCCATGCTTGTCCACTAGGTGTTCCAAGACAAGGTATTCCCAAATATCCCATGCTTGGCTCCACTAGGCGTTCCAAGACAAAGTATTTCCAAGTACCCCATACTTGGCTCCACTAGGCGTTCCAAGACAAAGTATTCCCCAGTACCCCATGCTTGGCTCCACTAGGCATTCCAAGAGAAAGTATTTCCCAGTACACCATGCTTGGCTTCACTAGGCGTTCCAAGAGAAAGAATTTCCCAGTACCCCATGCTTGGCTCCACTAGGCGTTCAAAGAGAAAGTATTTCCCAGTACCCCATGCTTGGCTCCACTAGGCGTTCCAAGACAAAGTATTCCCAAGTACCCCATGCTTGGCTCCACTAGGCGTTCGAAGACAAAGTATTCCCCAGTACCCATGCTTGGCTCCACTAGGCGTTCAAAGACAAAGTATTCCCCAGTACCCATGCTTGGCTCCACTAGGCATTCCAAGACAAAGTATTTCCCAGTACCCCATGCTTGGCTCCACTAGGCGTTCAAAGACAAAGTATTCCCAAGTACCCATGCTTGGCTCCACAAGACGTTCCAAGACAAAGTATTTCCCAGTACCCCATGCTTGGCTCCACTAGGCGTTCAAAGACAAAGTATTCCCAAGTACCCATGCTTGGCTCCACTAGGCGTTCAAAGACAAAACATTTCCCAGTACCCCATGCTTGGCTCCACTAGGCTTTCAAAGACAAAGTATTCCCCAGTACCCCATGCTTGGCTCCACTAGGCGTTCGAAGACAAAGTATTCCCCAGTACCCATGCTTGGCTCCACTAGGCGTTCGAAGACAAAGTATTCCCCAGTACCCATGCTTGGCTCCACTAGGCGTTCAAAGACAAAGTATTCCCCAGTACCCATGCTTGGCTCCACTAGGCATTCCAAGACAAAAAATATTCCACATGTACACCATACTTGTCTTCCCTAGGTATTCAAGAGCAAAAAATGACCCTTGCTAGGGATATCACTGACTGTAGGGTAAAACCACATTCTCTAATGGAATCACAAGACACTACAAGTATGTCACCGCTCACCTTGATCAGTTCTCGAACCTTCTTGGATGTGGTGTAGTGAGGAGGGAGGAAATGAGACAGATCGATCTGTTCGCAGCCTTCTATTTCATTGTCACTTGTACACATTAAACTCCTCACAAGCTTGCCTTTCCTGCGAGTACTGGTGATGCGCTGAGCTTGATTTGAGCGAATCAGTTCTAATCTCTTTTTTAAATTTTCCTGCTGTGAAACATTTGTGACTCTGACGCGTTTGTCTTGGTTGGAGATTTTGTCGATGGGTGACACATGATCCCAGCTGTGAGTGTGATTGGTCAACTGGCCCTCCTCTGGCCACGCCTCCTCAATGTGCAGCTGTATCCCGGCTAGAGTCGCTGCCTCTTCCTTGGCACACGGCAAATCCCCGCTCACAACCAGCTGCTGAAGCTGCAACAAAATACACATGTCAACCATCTGAACATTCATATATACAACTGTTGGTCGGTCAATATTCAAGAGAAGCAGAATACTTCTGAGTGAACTGACACACTACTTAACACCTTGAAACAGGAACACAAATGAACAGCCATGCCAACTGACACATATTCCATAAAAAATTGATGCATTGCGATGCTCTGTTCCATGATACATAACCTTAGATCATGTATTGTTACAAGCTTGACAATGGCAAAAGGATTTATACCAAATGTCACCTTTGAAGTAAATAAAGAAGTTGTTATCCATAAACTGGGTCTACTTTGTAACTGTTTACAACAACAAAAAAGGAGAAAGAATGAGTTTGGATGCTATCAAATATATCGACGCTTGTTGATAATAATATCTGAGCAAAAACTCAAGTACTTCAGTGCCAGTAAAAAACTTGTAGAAATGTACATCATGGTAGGTAAAAAATACAGCCCTAAAGTCAACAGCCTTGACTGAGCCCTAAAGACCTTCGACTAACTTGGTAGATCAGGGCTTTAAAAACAAGAAAGAAGTGAGCAAAGCTCACATACCCCCGTTATAATCCCCGCTGGTCAATAACAAATAGTACATAGTTTGTTAATTAATGAAATATACCTGTTGCTTAAAGTCAGAGGAACTGCCCTTTCCTTTGTAACCCCATGAGGATGCATTATGTTTGAAATGAACACATGTTTTTGCAAATATATTTCAAGCTTGTGTGGGATAATCAATGCTTAGCACAACATACATTCTTGATGTTTCTTAATGTGTCCATGGAAACGGCAAAAATTAAAAAATTCAGAATCTTCAAACTAGCAAAGAGCACAAGTACTCATTGTGGTAAATGGGTGTAGCAAGTTTGGTGAAGCTAGGGTGCATAGTTAAAAAGATATAGGCCGTACAAAACACCCACCCTAAAAGTTTAAGTTTCTAATGTTTCCATGGAAACGGCAAAAATTAAAATATTCAGAATCTTCAAACTAGCAAAAGGCACAAGTACTCATTGTGGTTAATGTGTGTAGAAAGTTTGGTGAAGCTAGGGTGCATAGTTAAAAAGCTCGGTCGGAAGGATGGATGGGCAGAAGGACGGACGGACGGACGGACGGAACGCTATATACCCCCAATTTACTTCGTAAACTGGGGTATAACTATAGACTACACTTAAGGGCTTTGAAAACTGCAGACAAGATTATTGCACTTATATAGCGACGTGCATGCACGTGTATGTGTGTGTGTGGCTGCTTGTACTAGTCCGGACTGATGCCGATTTATAGTGCTAGCTCACTGAGATACCATGCCGCAGTTTTACATGAATACCCCACTCAGACACAGTATACTGACTCCGAGCCGACCAGTCCTTGTTTTAGTCCCTTAATGCCGAACGCCAGACAGGGTAACAACAAGTACCATCTTTTAACGTCTTTTGGTATGACGCGGCTGGGGATCGAACCCTGGACCTTCCGCTCTCCGGGCGGACGCTCTACCACTAGACCACGGAGGGTCTTACAAGGGTTGTATTGCTATACATGTTTAGATGGCTATGCTGTCAATACGAAAATGACTTCATCTAAAGGACATGCACAGTTCTTAAATCAATCCGAGTGATTATCTTACAGGACTGTTTCACGAAACAGTTCTTCTGGAGAATTAGAATCACTCCATGATATTTCTCGGAGGAACTAAAAACATCCACGTCTCCATATGGAGTCACTGACTACAATTAGTTTCAATGGAGACATGCTGTTTGGAAAATAGCATATTTCTGTGAACTCCAAGAAGGTTGGATCAAGTATTCTCTGGTTGTCTAACATGGATGTACATCAAGTAATAGCAAGGATCATCCAACATTACAATAGAATAACAATTGATGGTTTGATTTGATTTGTTTGGTGCGTAACACTGCACTCAGAAATATTCCAGCTGTGACAGCAACCCGTAAATAATTGAATCTGGATTTTGAGTGAAAAAAAGCAAATTATTAAAAAACTTCAATATCTGGTTTTAACAAGGCGCAGAGAGTATTCCTCACTGGATTCAGAAACCGAATACTCTCCTAAACAGCTGCTTTTGACAAAATATTAGGCACTCGGGACTATTCTGCACCAGAATTACTTCAGGTAAATATCATGTGAAGTGTAAAAACTATTTTCCTAACAACAGTATGACACCATCAACAGAGTGAGTGAGTAGCTTTACGGTCCAAACAGCAGAGTCAAAAGTTATTCAGGTTGGAGGCCTTGACCACTCTGAACCCAATGAGCAAGGTTCATAATCAGGGTAAATCTAGGATTCAAACCCATGATCAGCAGATCCTGGCACATATAAGGGAGCCAACTTCACACATAAAGGCATTAGACCATTGGACCAATTGTGTTCCTCCAAATAACCAAAAACATTCACAAACATTACCTTAAAAGTCGCTCCAAATCACAATTCCGACTTTCCAGTTTAGAATCCAGCAGCATTTTACATGCAACCGACCAGCATGTTTCGCGGACACTAATACACAGCCGCAGGACATCAAGCAGACGTGTGCAAGGTGCCATGGCTGTCACTCCGGCTCCCCTAATGTAATTATCTGGCCCAGATTTCATGGCAAACTGCTGATCATACCAGGTATAGAAGAATAACCACGTTACGATAGATCCCTCCCTACGGATGTATTGATTAGACCTGCTGCTGTATCGATCTACTGAGACAAATTTACTAAAAATCAATTAGCAATGTAGGTGTAACTTTTTGTATCATCGTTGCAACTACTGTAATTTCTTTCCAGATGGCTAATCGATATGGTTTAATATGCAGAATATTAACAGTAATAACTGAAGCGAGTCATAAAGTTCTTCCTCATCGTGTGGCGCCGCTTGGATTCTCACCATCATTGCGAAGCTTTCAATTACATCTTGTACTCTCTGGCCAGCATTTATCATGATAGAGAGGCTGTTTTACTGCCTGTTAATAAGAGAAACATTGTGCTCATACACTTGCATGCAAAAATGAAACGCTTTTAGAAGATAGATCACTTTTAAGGATCAGAATGGCAGCTGATATATCCCAAGTCAAACACACTGAATGCCAGAATAATTTTATATAGATCGCTGTGTTAAATAAATTTGATGATTATTAGAAATAATAACATCAAACCATTGAACAAGAAGTTCAATGTTGACACTATAACTTATAGAAGCAAACATAAAATACCCAAACCTATAAATACATGATCTCCAATTCTTGTACCCGTTGTTTCTTTGGGTTACGTGCTTTAGAACACTGGTGAACACTGGTGAACACTGGTGAACACATTCTATCCTAGAGGTGTCTCAGAAATATAAAAGAAATTACAAGAATACTACATCACTGTAACAAGAATCCTATGTAGAACAAGCAGAGATCTAACAACAATCCTATGTAGAACGAGCAGAGATCTAACAACAATCCCAGGTAGATGTTAGGAGATCTAACAACAATCTCAGATAGATAGCAGAGATTGAACAACAATCTCAGGTAGACTGATCAGAGATCGAACAACAATCTCAGGTAGACTGATCAGAGATCGAACAACAATCTGAGGTAGACTGATCAGAGATCTAACAACAATCTCAGGTAGACTGAGCAAAGAACTAACAACAATCCCAGGTAGACTGAGCAGATCTAACAACAATCTCAGGTAGACGGTAAGAGATCTGACAATAATCTCAGGTAGACTGATCAGAGATCGAGCAACAATCTCAGGTAGACTGAGCAGATCTGACAATAATCCCAGGTAGAGTGATCAGATCGATCAACAATCCCAGGCAGACATGCAGCAGCGATTGAACAACAATGTCAGCTGGACTGATCAGATCTAACAACAATCTCAGGTAGAATGAGCACAGATCTAACAACAATCTCAGGTAGACGGTAAGACTTCTGACAATAATCCCAGGTAGACTGATCAGATCGATCAACAATCCCAGGCAGACAGCAGCGATCAAACAACAGTCTGAGGTAGACTGATCAGATCTAACAATAATCCCAAGTAGACTGAGCACAGATCTAACAACAATCTCAGGTAGACAGTAAGAGATCTGACAATAATCCCTGGTAGACTGATCAGATCGAACAACAATCCCAGGCAGACAGCAGAGATCGAACAACAATGTCAGGTGGACTTAGCAGAGATTACACTTCACAACACAACACAACTGCTGACTTAGTGTGGAGTTCCTGTTGATACAAGAACTGTTCATATATAAACACGACCAGACATGGAAGGGGAGGACAACATGGTGGGGATTAATCCAACAAGAATGTGCAACATGGTGGCCACTGTACAATCTCCAACCTCCAAAGTGGGTCATTCTGTTCAGTTGCCAAACATTTTTATCGTAAAAGGGTTATACCACAATGTCATAAAAAGTAGAGAAACAATTTTTTTTTCTATGACACTGTTGTCTGAAAAAGAAGCAGAGAAAACAGTCACTTCATGGACTTTCATATTCCAGAATTACTGGTTCCATCTGACCAGAAGCTTCTGCCTGTAGTAAGGGCATGGCCTCATCTGTAGACCATGTCACCTTCCTGATGGGGATAACCTCTTGGTTACCTGGACGATAGGGATAGGACGAGTCCAAATTTACTACCCGGGTACCCACCCCACAATTACCCGACCCTACCCGGGTACCTGCTGTAGGTCTCAAGAGATAGGTACAAATGTCTGGTAGGGAATAGTTTGACCGTAGCCCTGGCAAAATGTATTTAGATACTCATAGAAAATGATCTGGTCATGCATACATTGAAGTTGACTGAAGTTTTATCTCTATTCAAACATATAAAGTCAGAAGGAATGGATGTAAAGTCAGAAAGAAATTCAAACACTAGTCACTTATAGTGTAACCGTTGAAGTTCTAGATTATTTTTGCCATTAAACAATATATCATGTGACTGACCAGGTCTGGGTAGTCCTGTGGGTATCCAGGTCCTACTCAGGAACCATCCGACCC